TAAAACATTCAATAAATCAAGTGGAAGTACGTAAAACTGAAATATATTCTTAAGGAAAACCAAACCATTAGTCGAGACCGTTTAACTAATTATACAGTGATTTATCGTTTCGCACTTCAAAGCCTTTTATCAAAAGAATCAAGACTAAGCATTGAGCATGTGCATATAAGTGATTATTGCAGATCATTGATTTCAGATCATAATATCTATCATGGACTTTTTTAATGGCGATCCGTCTACTAAAATAGTTTACCATTAGGACCGTTGACGAAAACGAACAGAAATCGTAAAACTTATTGAGACACTTAACTATTAAGTTCTTTGGATCTGTTATAAAAGATACATGTTTTAACATTAAGCTTGAACCAATGAAATTAAAGATAATGAACTGATAGTGGTTTCCCAGTTTATCATTTTGTGAAAGCACGAATTAATATAATGGATGCAGATAAAACTACGAAGTCAAAATTTACTTACAATTTATTTAAATATAGACATTAAAATAACAAGTACTATGTAAGAACTAATCCAATAAAATCAAAATATGTGTCTAAATTTCATAAGCAAAATATACAGAGTTTAAAAAAACCGTTTTGTCTTCATAAACCTAGCTTTTCGTTAAAAGTTATGACATCTAAAAAAAGAGAGTAAATATACACAAATTTACTTTGTGAATATTTCTGAGATAAATTTTTTACCCTTAATTTATATTTTGATATTTACTTAGAGATTGCTCCCTGTGAATGTATATAATGTATAAGTAAGCTTATCTTGAATATTTTATTTTGTATGGTCTGGGAAATGGCTTCTTGTAAAGTTATAGATAGGTATATAACACAAGAATCATTACTTATAACTACTACATAAGATCAGTAATCAAAATGAGCTTATATTCAACAGTAAATCCGTTAAAACCAAATGCAAATTTTGTCCATTCGTTAATGGAATAATTTCATATTCTTGTTTACAAACAAAATAACAGCCCCTCAGCTGTATCTATTTCGTCTCAGTAATTTTAATTAAGACTTCAGAACTCATTTATGTGTTTATTTACTTATACCTGAAATAATAAGATTTTTTTAAACCTTTTTGTAAGAAAAAATAATACAGAATTGTTTAGTTGAATGTTGTATTGTTTTATTGAAAATAATTTTTTTTCATTTATATTTTATTTTTAAACTTGGTAACGTCCTGGAAAATTTATTACATTTATTGCCACTATTTACATTAAATTTTGTTTCAAATGGATCAGTTAAGGTTAATTAACTATCTGTCTTGACTGTAAAATACAAAGATATCTGTCATAAGCACTCGTGTATATATAACATAGACTTTGTTATAAAGCATGTAATTTACAATTGAGGAACGATTTCTATTCTTGTAATACCCTCAAGGAGAGTCAAGGATCAGATTTCATGTCTATAATCAACCTATCTAAGCTTTCTATGCTTGATGAAACATGGTCTTTGAAATTTAACTTCTTATTATAATCTGTCAATCATATTTATTTTAATTTGTTTAAAAACTCATTGTATGAAAACAACAACCAAAAATTTGGCAAAAACTGAAATGACTTCTATTTTACAGAACGAACAAGACAAAAGAGAAACGCTTAAGTGAGAATTGCAAACAATTAAAAACAAATTACCAGCAAGCCAGTTTAGTTGCGTTCGAACATTAATTTATTTAATTTTCTTTTATAAAAAGTTGTTTTATACAATTAACTTAATTGGCTCAGTTAATAATACTCATTTAAATTCAAAGCACATACACTTTTTTGTAATTTATTCATATGAAAATTGTATTTCATGTGATTATTTCACAATTGTTTTATTTGTCAGTGGCAATAATATTCCTGAACCAACTTGTATTTTAAAGTGATATTAATAGAGTTTAATCAATTTAATAAATTTTACAAAATAATGCAGTTGGTTGATTAATTATTCATACTATAATTTTTAAGTATCAACTGCTATGTTATAATTGCAGACTGTTGTGGTGTTTTAAACACAAAGACCAAAATATAATATGAAGAATTAATGTAAAAAAATTAAAATGGTAGTCCAAAAAAAATGTAAAGTCCGACTTATATAAAACGATTAAAATGATAAGTAGTTAATTAAATTTATATTTAAAAAATATTTGTGTAAATTTGTGTACCTAACCCGACAATAGATTGCCTTTTTAACATTGAAAGGGGTAAACGAGCAGACGACATACTTGATGGGAAGAAGTCACCGTCACCCATGGATATCTACAACAAAAGTTTTTTTTTGGCCGCGTTGCTGACCTTGACTTTTGAGGAATGAGGCAAGCATGGGAAAATGTAAGAGCATGAAAATGGCAACCGAACGTCTCACTTATCTGGCGAAGCATAGCCATTAAAGACTATTTTCTGTGAGAGGGTGGTACTTTCTCCGTCGACTCAGCATATGTTGAAACTATTGTTAAGTAACTACGTTCTAGTTTTCGACTATTTTTTCAACTATTTAAAATATCTAACTATACATATTATAAACTTATTATATTCCTTTATTCCTATATATAGGAACTGAGCCATTATTAGAATTATTTCCTAGTTCCATAGTGGCGTAGGATAACGGGCGAGGAGAAAATAAATAATTAACACTGGACGCATAGGTAATGGACGTTATAATTGAAATAATTAATTAACACACGCTACAATTAACTAAACTCAATAAACGAGTTTCAATTACAAAGTTCGTACTCAGTATTAATCACACGACGTTCCTCGGACAACGTGACATATGCTCCTCATACGAATGGACTAATTTACCGATTCAAGCACGATACCGCCAGTCCCCCGAATTATATCAAGCGAACTGTCACTTGAAGGCCTCCATCCATCCGTCAGTGAGATTCACTTCGCTAAAGCGCTAAAACTACTATAAGGTGATAATGAAAAAAGGAAATATGCCAGATATACATTCTTTCTTAAATGCATTTACAGTCTCTTTTTTATAAGTAATTAGAAAAGGATTATAATTTTAGTAATTTTATAAAGTTTTTTCTACTGAATAATATTTTATAAGTATAAGAACAACTCATCTAAAAATAAATTTATCTTACTTTAAATGTTATTTTAAGGGATTATTGTATACTTTTTGTATATTGATTATTGTAAAACTAAAGTAATATCCTTTTACGTTCGACCTATATACATAAAAGTTAGTCCCAAATTACAATTGCTTTGGGACTGGGAATAACTCATGAAAATGTATACAGTAAGGGTAAATTATAAATTTAGTATTGGAATAAGTTCGTGAATACCGTTGCGCACTATTTTTATAATTTATTGAAATATTTAAAATCTTATACCATTGCTAATTGGTTCAAAATGAATGAATTATTTCTAATAAACATTGTAATAAAATTAAAAAATAACGATGTAAGTACATAACTTGTTGGGTGTTTTAAAAGATATCTTTGGACTTGGGGCTCATAAGAGATATAGTGTTTGGTAATGTAAAAGGAGGGTAATTTTTCCATCCCATTCTACTAACCCAATGACTTAAACGCTAAGGGAGTTCACGGAAAAAATTGTTCACGAATGGCAAAATTTTTACAATTGAGCAATATTTTAACGAACAAAATCGCTGTATTTAAGCTAAAAGCTCTATAGAAACTTGTCATTCAGTCAAGATAATACAACACCCTTATTATTATATTTTAGTGATGGTTTTTCTATATAATTGGGACTGACTCAGATATGTGTGAATAAAATATATAAATATTAGCACATGCTTAGCATTGTTTGATAAAGTTGATAAGCCCCTTAACAAAAACATGTTAATAAAACCAAACCTTAACAAAACCAAGTTAACAGGATCACAACCAGTGTTCAGTCGCGATGAAGTATATGACATTATTTCTAACCAACATAACGTGAAAGCGCTTTCATAAAGTTTAAAGTCTTGCTGAAAGGTCAATTTGCATTAAGTTCTCTTAATTGATAAACGTGAAACTATGATCACACTGTACAATACTATCAGACATTTTGAATTTAATTAAACCGTAATCTCTGATAATATAATTTTGCCTTCCATTATAACTTGCTTATCTTTCCCTAACAGAATGAATTCAGGATTAGCATAATTATACATTTTTCTGTTGTTGTATCACCTTAAATGCTAATTTTCATTCGTTTGATAATTAATTAATTAGTGATTGAATTTAATGACATACATTATGAAACTATGAAAATAAAGACATTAAAGTTCCATACAACTGTCTCTGCGTATTTATTCAAATAGAGTATAATAGACACTGAATTTGTTTATTCGAGTATAATTAACTCACCCTCGACTCTTTGACCAAATGATGTCGCTGCCACTCCTCACCTTAAAAATGGTCCTAGTTACGTACAACTATCAACTGTATAAATACTTAATATATCATAAATTAACATATAAAATGATACTGCTATTTGAATATAAAATGAAACTGCTATTTTGTTACTTCAATATCAACAAAAAAATATTATTTCTAATTTTACAATATACCCATTGCCTAGTACATGATGTCATACATAATATACTTGTATATATAAATTGCTACAGTTTCATAATAGCAATACGTCACAGACAATTTTTCAGCCGAGGCTTATCGTTATGTTAACTTGACGTTATTCTAAAACAAATATTGCAGATTTCCAAACATGGGATTCCAAAATTATAAATCTGGTTTTGTGAATTAAAGAACTGTACCACGTCGTTTTGGAAAGCCTCTCTATTTTGAAATGCCCGATTCCGCAAATGGTTGTCCAATGCTAAAAACATTTGGTACTTGGGGCTAGGTCTGGTGAGTACGGCGGATGAGACAGGACTTCTAATCTTCCACTCTTGCATTGTGCAGATTGTCAAACGCTGTAACTTGTTTGCTTCATTCAATTCATGTGGTACCCATTTGCTTAGCTTCCATCGTTTCCCAAGCTGGTGCAAATGAATGCGAATAGTTTCGTCGCTTCAGGGAATTGCGAGTCAAGAGCTTGGCATGTCTGACATTGCCAGCTTGATGTCGTCGTTGTTAAGCGTCGATGGTCTACCGGAGCGAGGTTCATGCTCCAGGCTTTCATTTCCAGAAGCAAATTTTTTAAACAACTTCTGGTTCGTTCGTTCACCTACAGCACCTTCCCCAAAAGCAGAGCCTATCTTACGGCAAGATTCTGCGGCTTTACTGCCAAGTGTGAAGTCGTAAAGTAAACCAGCACGAATTATTGAATTTGACACAGCCATGCTTTACCAATAATTTTTCTTATTTTTTAAAGTAAAAAAAACTTATCTAACACAATATATGATACTTATTAATATAACCTTTCAAATGTATAATAAATTACCCACCACTTTATCATACTTGCTATATAGTAAACAATAAGTAAACAGTCCGTATAAGTAAACAATGAATGAAAACCGCACGAACTTTTCTGGTTACCTAATATTTCTATTAAACATATGATGTAGAAATGTTTTTAGTTTTTTTTATTACAAAATTTCGTTTTTAATTATTATTGTTTTATTTTTATTCCAAGTAAGCGGTTAGTAAAAGATGTAGGCATATTAAAAAATCTTATTTACCATGAATTAAATAGAAGAACTAAAATTTTTTTTATAAGTTCTCGTTTAGCTGAAACAGAATGGCCTTTGATTTCAGCTTCAATTTTTAATTCCAAATAACACCACAGTTACAGTTAACCTTCACTTCAGAAGTCTTCATTATCACTAAAACATGCTCGATTAAAACTGATAATTTACAGGGATTTTTATTTCAAGAATTGAGTAACTTTAACCGTTTTCCTTTTTGTTCTAATCTACAGTACCTCTGCCTAATTCTACAACGCTCCTATGCAACAATATATTTGTATGTAGCTATGAATTATAGCAAAGTTATCCCTACGTTCATATTGTTCAAGGTCCAAGTTTCAAGACTTTTCCTTAAGATCAATATGTTTGTCATAAATGAGCTGCCATGTTAATAGCAGCTATGTCCGTTTAGAATAGTGTACGTACGATGTATGTGTTAATATGCATAAATTTAGTAACTACACTTGACAGAGAAAAACGTTCAGCTTTATACAGTTAACTTTAACAATTAACTGTTTTCACCAAGTAAACGTGTCAACAAATCCATAACAATCACCATATACGGGGTTAGGGTTGAAACGGGGTTTGAGATTATAAAAATTATATTACCAAAATGTAACTTGATGGAACAAGCTCTGCTTCCAAGAATTATCTAGTCCTATAAGCCTTTATACACACTCATTCTTTATTTTTACCTTTGTTTTTAAATTGTAAATTAAAATTAAATAATTTTTTACTTTAAGTGTTTAGCTTTCGTTAATTGTAAATTTGTTGATAACATTTTTTTCCTTTTATTGCTTCCTTTTTAAGCGTCTATTTTCCTCTAAGAATCTGTATATCAATATTATGTGCTCATACCAATTTGTATATTTTAAACTATATAATATTCATTATATTCACCTATTCATTAGAAGCCCCGTATGTTCCAATCGTCGCTAATGTATTATAGGGTATTAATATGAAAGTGATCTTTCAATGGCACTGAAATGAATAGAGGCAGTTATAGGAAAATATTTGTTTCCCATTAATTACAATAATAATTATGTATTTTGATAATGTATTAATAATAAATCAAAGCGTTTCTGTGTATTGAAAATCTACTATGAATTGATTGTAAGATTTAACTTTTAGCAACTGTTATAATCATACCAGAGTTTCCTTTTTCTTTTATAATTTCGATAAGATATTTTCTCTTGAATAAAGGACGTAATTGTTAACTAAATTAAAATCTCAAGTAACTATGTAGCTAAAATTCAAATGCAATTATTTATGTTTTTTATTATCAATTTACCTACCAAGTTTTAATAAAAAGTATTAAAAACATTTCCTATATTCAATTTTAAAAGCTTGTTCTCGTTTATTTTAAACACACTTAATTTAAAACTCTATATTTAGGAAAAGCAATTTCGGTCACCAGTTATAAAATAAATAAAACATAAAAAGTACGTATTGGAATTATATTATATAATTTCGTTTCATAACGATTTGCAACTGAAAAATAAATAAATGATTCCTAAAAGATCTATTCCTAAATGTGGTATAATTATTATTTTATATTATTATACTTAATGGGTTTGTAAAGACCACGCAAGTAGCATTGTAGGGTTAGTTTTTTATATAAATCGCGATTCGCCTTAATGGTGGTATTCACGGTGTCATGTAACGTGACGTATATTATGATGGTGGTAAATAAATTTTGAACCCGTTCATACATTTCTCGTGGAGTGGAAGATCCCTGAGTTTGTAAGGATAAGTCGTCAAATTAAGCGGCTTCGTCGCCTTGAAATGCGAAGTTGTAAACGAGTGCATTCCCAAAACCGATACAACTTTCGGAAATACCATTGGAATTTATCAATCTAGCTGCAGAATTTTTTTTTCATTATGCCTTTAATAAGGACCAAATTAGTTAACCCATAGCCCGTTCTGTTTTTAAATACGCATATACTAGTTGAAATAAATTTATAAAACGCGTTAATATTATACGTCGGGGCTACAGCCTAAGTTAGGCCAAACCCTGAGTGACTTGTAAATCTCATCTGTTTTATCCTGAGACATTTCACTGATACATAAATTCACGTTATTGTCTAAATTTGTCAATAGTATTGAATCTAGAAGATCTACTCCTACAAGTAATACGATTACTCGATTCTCTTGGCAAAAAAAAAGAAAATGGTATATCTATATATACTGTATATTAAAACAAATTTATTTAAAAAATATTAAATTACTTGGAATGGTTAAGGACTAAAGTTAAAACTAGGATAGTTAAGGATATAAAAGATGAAGAGCACTTACATTAACATCATTCTCTGGCCTTATCGATGTCTGGATGCACCTCTGCTAGCAAACAAATAGTTTCAAACACTCAATATCTGTAAATCACGCGAGACTTCGGACCAATGTGATGGTAACATGCCAACAAACTTTACTAGTTTGTAAAGAAGTTGTGAATATGTATAAATAATGACAACATTATACATCAATACAAAAGGCGTTTTTGGGATAAAAAAGCACTAATTCTAGAACTTGTATAATTTCAATGAAATATTTGTGATGCAGCTGCGATAAATGCGGTCAGATAGTAGGTTTAAGTTGAATAGTATTTCATATTTCTAAATATAGAAAACATTCAACAGAAAGGATATAAAATATACCAGTGTGTTTCAATAGACTTCCAACACAGTTCATATAAATTGAAAAATATCAATAGACGCTGCAAGGGATACACCTCTTAATATATTATGTTTTCTCTTGATAAAAATATAAAACAAATAATAATTAATCTGTTTAGCTAACATGTGTCATGTCCACAAACATGTTGATTTATCGTCTGTAATTTCTAATTTTCCGACGTAATAGAGGACTGTTATCTTACACAAATAGTATTAAACGATGTTTTGAGGTTAAAGTCGACCTTATTAAAGTGTATTTAGTTAAAATCAAATTCTTAAAAACAAACACAATTTTAATGGAAAATAATAAAACATAGGACTTTATGTCTTACTTTATTTATGTTGTACAATATATTTCTTATAATATGACAGAGATTAAAGAATTTTTCTAATTTATAGACATGCATACCATCGAGTGTTTATTGTACTGTATAAAAAAAAGAAACCTTCAGAACTTTTGCGCTACTCGATCGTATATATATAGTTTGGTGATGATACGCATTTTATATTAAATTGTAACAGATTTCAATAAAGAATAACTGCAGGCAAGGCAAGGCAATATATCACAAAGGTTATGAGATAAAATTATAAAACTGTTTTTACAGTGCAATATAAAAAGAGAATAAAATAGATTTTTTATATTAGTAAGGTCATAAACGAAAATATGGCTGGTTTGCTAGCAAATGATTATAGCCGTCCATGAACTATGACAAAATAAATGGAATCGCAGATGAGCTTTGTTTCTACAGGAGAAACATTTACACACTTGAGAATATGACTAGTAGGCCTCGGCCTCGAATTTTGCGGGCAGCGGAGCGGCAGCGGCGGCGGCACGAAAACGCATACATTTCTCCGTGCCCGCTGCCCGCTAGTTTGGAGAATAGTATGCGTTTCCGTGCCGCCGCCGCTGCCGCCCCGCTACCCGCGAGATTCGAGGCCGAGGCCGTACACTTACAACGTACAACATTCGATACAAAATATACAAAATATTATACATTAGCATTCATTTCATACATATATGCAAGTTTTCTATTTTAAAATAATTAAGTGAGAAATAATTTTTATCAAAATCAAGAACGAACACCATTTTGAAGTTGAATTTATCACAATAAGAAAAGCAATTATACATCGTATTTGTGTCTAAATCAGATTTATGACAAAACAAAATGATCTTTTAATTTTCATTCTAGCTTCATATACTTATTTAAACTGGGTTAGGTGGATTTCATTTTTAATATTTGTACGTTAAGGAAGTAATAACTGTAATCAATATATCCTGTCCTGTCCTGTCCTGTAACCACCAGGTTGTTTAATCCACACAAAAAATAAACACCGTTACATACCTAGTCATTTTAGAAACGGTTCGAGTAATTATTTAGAAAGTTTGAATATTATTATATTACCTTACAGTCTTTTCAAGATAATTAGATTCATCCTGTGATTGAGTAACGTGGACAGACGTTTGGGATTCAAATTTTCAAGTATAATGACACAATCCTAAATTTTTTTAATGATAGACCAAACAATTCGCAACTTTAATATTTCGTACAAATACACTACAGTTATAATAAATATGTAAAAGGAATGAATCAGTATCTTTTTATTTTAATACAATGATAAAAAAACACGAGACGTTAATACATTTGACAATTTGGGTCAAAGATAATGCTGTTCTTCAGACGTTTTCAGTGAAGCTATCAAAAAGTTTAAATGAAAAACCAATCTTCCTTACAAATTACAATTGCTTATACAAATAATCTAAATAGGAATGTAAGATAGAAAATGTTGTATAAAAGTTTTAGTATAGTCAATTGATTCAATTACAAAGGATAAGAGCCCTGTAGTTTGTCTTATCTGCTTTTAAAATTCTACTCAACAAATCTATCCAAGTTTCCGAAGAAGACGGGGAACTTTCGTCAATCTACTGACTATGTTTATAAAGGACAAATTTGTTAAAAGAAGCGAATTATGAATGTAACTTAA